TGTAACAAAAGAAATTACAAAGGTTTTTTTTCTTCTTTTAATTAGTGTTTCTGATTTAGTTTTTTGATGGAAACTTGAAGAGAAAGTATTATAGAGCTGGCCTTCTCATGCAAGTTAATTATGGAAGGGGTTTTAGTTCATACTTTCTGTCCCTCTGAAATCTTTCCTTCATTGATAGTTGGCATAATTTTCCAACAAAGTTTTATTCTTATGGTACCGCATCATCTTTTTAACCCTTGAGAATCCTTTATATATCAGTTCTTCGTTATCTATTGTCATGTTTATTCATCAGATGACCGAAATCATTATGTAAATCAACTGATTCCTCATTCCCTTTCAAACTATGTTGTCCAAGGATTCTGCAAATGTTTCATTAAGGTACTCTAGACTACGAAAAAGATGACTATTTGGAAACTAACATATATTTTTGACTGACCAGGAAATTATCTTAGCTTCTATAATGCTATAAAACGTGCCTATCCGGATGTCAAAATGATTTCAAATTGTGATGGGTCAGAAAAACAATTGGATCACCCAGCAGAGTATTATGATTATCACGTATATCATCTTCAACGAGCTTTTGCACTTTTGCCTACTATTTTCTTTATATTCTAACATTTGAATATGTTTGCTCATTGATCTGTCTTTTGATTCCTTGACCAGATATATACAAATTCAAAGGACATGTTTTCTTTGGCACATAAATTTGATCATGCTCCGCGTGAGGGTCCAAAGGTGTAGTAATGTGCACACGCTACAAACTATGGGATATTTTTATAGTAAATATTTGTTGATATTCTTCTTGTTTGATACTTTTTCAGGCTTTTGTTAGTGAATATGCTGTGACTGGAGATGATGCTGGCAATGGAACCCTTTTAGCTGCGATAGCAGAAGCTGGATTCCTTATCGGCCTAGAAAAGAATAGGTTTGTTTTTGTAATTCACAAGAACATCTTTTCCATGAATTTTCTATCATTTGTGCGAATGCATTTTCCATCAAATTTAGTAAACTACAAATATTTGATTGATCTGATTTAAGCTTTAAGTTAAAAAAGATTAAAATTGACTATTTGTAGTGATACAATATATATACCTGACTAGTTTTAGTGATATAACGTGGTTGCATATATATATATATATATATATATATATATTCTTGTAGTTAGTTACTGTTATTATTCAGTATTTTAGTATTACTTGTGCAATTAAGGAAGTTCTAGTTTGTTTTAATATATTTTGAATTTTATTAGCATTTATACTTCCGACTTCATGTTCACTTTGTGATATTAACCTCATTTGACCTTGTAATTAGTTTATACGTAATATGTATATACAAGCTACTCAGAAATTGCACTTGGGTTGCAAGACATAACGAGAATATATGCATTAGACATTTATCTTCATTATCTTGCTAATTACTTTGGTTCTTCACATGTTTATTTTCTTTTTCTATTTCCTTATATCTTCACCTCAGTCTCCATTATTATTTGCCTAATCCCCAACTTTCCTTTATAAATTTATGGTATTATTTTTAATAAGAAAGCTAAGCTAACGAAAGCTCTGTCATTGCAGCGATGTTGTTGAGATGGCATCCTACGCGCCACTTTTTGTGAATGTCAACGATAGACGGTATTTCCTTCTGTTTTTCCTGCTTGCTTAAATTTTATGCTGTAAAGTGAAAATTTTCCATTTAATTGTCATTCTTGACTTAACTTTTTTGTCGTAACTAAAGGTGGAACCCAGATGCAATCGTCTTTGACTCCTCCCGGCTATATGGAACGCCCAGCTACTGGGTACAACAAGTTTTTGCAGAGTCAAGTGGAGCAACTCTTCTCAATGCAACACTCCAGACAGACTCTTCTGATTCACTTATTGCATCTGCAGTTGCTTGGAAAGATAAAAGCACTGGCAAAAATTATATTAAAATAAAGGTAATTTTTTTTCTAATTGGATTACGCTGCAGGCCCTGTGGATCTTCTGTTTAATCATATTGTTGGTTTTCTTATATGCATTTCATTTCATACTCTTAGGTTCCTGACCCCAAAAAAAAAAAAAACCTTATAAAAGCAAGCATTCAAATTACGCAAACATCCATGCCTAACATTCAATTATTTGTGTATTATATCAGATTTGACATATTCATTTTTCGTGTTGAGGTTTACCCTTTTTCTTATATCGGCTCATGCATATCTTTTAATTGATCGTGTATATGTTCTTTTGTCAAGCTATTGATATATAAACGAACATCCTTGCAGATCGTGAACTTTGGATCTAACCAAGTGACTCTCAAAGTTTCTTTGGATGGAGTGGTTTCGGAGTTTGCATTGACACAGACTGTGTTGACATCTGGTAATGTGATGGACGAGAACTCTTTCGATCAGCCAAATAAGGTGACTGTTACTCTTTTCTTAAAAGTATCTGAAAATATTCATTACAGTCTATGTATACATAATTGGAGGAACTGGGTGTTGTCTAAATTTTTCGAATCAAAGAACTTTAAACAGTTATAGGCTTTTTAAAGTAAAAATACAATGTATCTTATTAATTATATGAAATACACACACTAATCATAACACAATCTTCTAACAATGATACACGGGAAATCACGGCTCGTCTCAAATCCACTTTAATTTCTTCGAATCCGATGTTTTCATGACTATTTTCACTCAAGTTACATTCAACTGATTGCTTCTTTTGTTAATTGTTTGCTTACAATCACAAATTTACATATAACAGGTGGCACTGCACCTTACTCAACTACAAAATGTTGCAAAGGAAATGGAATTTACCCTCTCACCGCATTCTTTTACGGCGTTTGATCTATTGAAGAATCAGTAAAAACACGGAATTCTTCTACAGGACTGCATTTTATTTTTCATTAGATATATAAATTTGTAAATCATGTCGTTTATCAATAATAAACATTTTGGTTAAATTTCGAAATTTATTTTTTTCTTTTATTTATTACGTTCTTAAATTTTAAGAAAAATACATACCCCCACAATTTTAATCCAACTTATTTTTTCATAAAAAAATTTAATTTAATGTATCTATGTATAAACTAATTATATATATATATATATATGTATATACCCACACTAAAAGAATAAAGTATTTAGAAGTAAGTAACTTTTATTTTTTAGGAGAGTTAAAAAGAGTTTAGGTTTGGGATTACAATATGTATGTATATTATACAATTCATAGATATATAAATATAATATACTCTATGTATAGTTTATTTATTATTAAATTGGACTAATTGGGTTAGGTTAAAATTAATCAAATTCAAACCCAACTTTATATTTTTGGAGATACTAATTTTTTTTTTTTTTTAATAATCCAAGCTTATGTAATGAGTTTAAAGTAGGTATTCAAGCACTTAAATTTACATATTATGTATTTATTTAAAAATTATTATAAGAAATTTTTTGTATAAATATTAAAATATCAAAATTTATATTTTTCTTTAAATTTTCTTGTTATTTTACTATTAAATTTTCAATAATAATAATAATAGAAAGTTTATTGTATTTTGATTCCAAACCTTAAGTATAAAACAAAAATTAATATAAATTAAAGAAATTTAATTCCTAATTAGGGTGATTATCTTTTCATTAAGCGTATTTTGTTGTTATTTTTTATACTAATTAATTAAATTATTTGACTCACACGTACTCTCTTTTCCCTTTTCCACATTCTAAAATTTAACATTTAATAAAACATAATAATCTAAATAAATAAATAAAATACAAATCTCCGTTCCGTATTTACTTTAAATTCGAAATTAATTTAAACATTTTAATTATTTTTCCTAATCCAAAATTAAATTCAAAATCAACCGTGTCCAACGAGGTCGCGGTATTGGTCAACGCAATCTACGGTTCACGTCCCGCGATGTAGCGGATTATAGCGCTGATTTATTTGATTTTTGTAAGGGCATATTCGGGGAATAAAAATATGAGTGCTGCTTTTGTCAAAAAAACAAAAGGTGAAAAACGCGTTAAACGCAATATTCAAACACCAATCCAAACAGATCTTTACTGTATTTTTTTTTTCTTTTTACTTAAATTTCTTAGGAAAAAAAAATCGCCCATAGTTTTCTGTTTGGAGAGAGAAAAAGAGATAATGGCATTTATTTGTGTTGACTGATCAATGAGCAGTTCAGCGTAGCCGGCAAAAGGCGTATCCTTAGTATATTATATATATATATAGGATATAGTGATATGTATGTATACTGGATCTATATATGTACATACGTAAATGCCTATACGCGTTGAACAGTCAATCAAACGCAAGCGACCGCTTTTACTTGGTAATTAAGCTCTTTCCTTATCTTTCATGAATCGTATATATCTTTCAATTTCAATACCTTTAATTACTTGTTTCGGAGTTTTCAAGGCGTTGCTACGTGCTTTTTTTTTTTTTTTTTGATGGTCCCAAAATTTCGATAGTTACAATACTGCAAATTTCAAATTCTGTCTCTGCCTTTTTTTTTTTTTTGTTTCAGAGGTAAGATTTTTTCTTACCTTTTTCAGTTGTATAGGTTCGTGCGTGCTGCTATCTGAATCCCGGTATTAGGTGAAGAAAAGTTTTTATTTCTAAAGAAAAGTTCAATGAAACTTATCTTTTCTAGCTCCTTTTTTATTAGCAGAAAATTATTGGAATATTTTGGTTGGGAATCTTGAGTTGGCTTATCTGGTAAAATGGGTGTCTGAAAATATTTCTTTTTCTTGAAAATTTTGCAGCTGAATTGAGAAGGTTGGTGCTTGTTGGTTGCAATGCAGATTGAAGTAGATTGTTTCTTCAAGTTGTGAATAAATTTAGTTTTCTGAAGGAGGGGGTTTTTTATTATATAATATTTTATTATTTATACAGAATTTTGCAACATGGGCTGCATAAATTCTAAGTCTAGTCCTTTTAAGGATAGCAGGGAAAGCCCTAGAAGGATGCTATCTCGTAAAGGATCAATGGAACGTGTTCATCGGCTTGACTCATCGAGAAAGGAGGAGGTTACTCGATCAAAACATAGATTGGATAGTGGTGAAGTGAAAGTTAAGTTGATTGATAAGAAAGCATATGGTTTTACTCAGTTTTATGATGATCGGATTGAGAAGAAAAAAGTAGAGAGGTGTGAAGAGGTTGTTACTAGTTTTCCTACTTTGTCAAGGGTTCCCAAGGCTATAGAAGGAGAGCAAGTGGCCGCAGGGTGGCCATCTTGGCTTGCTGCGGTGGCTGGTGAAGCAATCAAGGGATGGACACCGCGGCATGCCAATACTTTTGAGAAGTTAGAAAAAGTATGTTCCTTTTTGATCTGATTGCTGGTTTTATGTTCTCTTTTTTTTTTTTTCTGTGTTATGTGATTAAATGTTTATTGCTAATTGAACGGACATACGAGAAGATTGTGGAGATTTAGTCGGGCAAAAGGTTAAGTAGCTTGATTGAATTTTTGAAGCTTGTGGTTTGCGTTTGCTTGGATATTTGTTCAGCTGATGTATTGTCAACTCGGATGGAAATGGAGTTGCAGAAGTAAAAATCTATATGTAGTCCTTTTTTTATCTAACAACCATTTATTTTAGACTTGGGGATTCACTTCCCCTTTTGACTTAAAGACTGACTGGGGGACTTTTATTTTGCTGGAGTAGTTAGTCCTAACTAAAGAAGATTTGGACTAATATCTTTACCTGCTCCGTATATGATATCAGCTCCAAGATGTGCATAAACTATACTGTGAAAGATGCATAAATTTTATTTTATATATAAGACCAAATATATTCTTGTCTTATTTGCTGATGGCAATGACAATTCTATAAGCTGGATAAACTAGAGTTCATCTCCTCCTTGCCTTGTTGTCCCATAGTGATGGCAATTTTTGTGAATGGATGAACTAGAATGTAGGTGAATCATTGTTGCAAGATCAGGCAATATAAAGTTTATTCATCTTTTGAGCCTGCGTCTGTATTATAGTTCAGGGAAAGGGAATATGCAGTGTGTGCACTACATTATTGTTGCTTGTTCCATTACTGGGTTTATATTTCCTTTGTCTAGCTTCATTTAATGGTCTCATTTCTTTGCAGATTGGACAAGGAACATACAGTAGTGTTTATAAGGCTCGGGATATCATTCATAACAAACTTGTTGCTTTGAAAAGAGTACGGTTTGATAATCATGATCCAGAGAGCATCAAATTTATGGCCAGAGAAATTGTTATCTTGCGCAGGCTCGATCATCCAAATGTAATTAAATTGGAAGGCTTGATTACATCTCGAACATCATGTACTCTGTATCTGGTTTTTGAGTATATGGAACATGATCTTGTAGGAATTGCTTCACTGCCTGGTGTCAAGTTTTCAGAGCCTCAGGTACTTGTTTTGTCATTTTCACGGTTGTCATAGCCTTGAGCTTATTGGTACACCACTTGTTTAATTTTTTTTTTCTTTGAAGTTAATTAGGCACATTCTTTTTCTCCAATTCCTGTGCTTATTTTTCTTTTAGGTTAAATGTTATATGCACCAACTTCTAAGCGGACTTGATCATTGTCACAGTCATGGGGTTCTACATCGTGACATTAAGGGCTCGAATCTTCTTATTGATAGTAATGGCATCTTGAAGATTGCAGATTTTGGGTTAGCAAGTTTTTTTGACCCCCATGATACTACACCGTTGACAAGCCGTGTTATCACTCTCTGGTATCGACCACCAGAACTTTTGCTTGGAGCATCT